AAATGAAACCACAGATTTCTAGGGCTCTTCCCAGGAAGACTTTCTGGATTTCCACTGGCCTCGCCACAGAGGGACTGGTCAGTTGTTACCAAACTTTGAGTTTTGGCGTCCAGGAAATGAGCTAAATCATTTCTTTTGGAATTGTTCGCATCCTACCAGAGAGATAAATCTCATTCCTCCATCCTGTAAGCCTGGAGCCCACGACAGAACACAGAGGACATCTCCACACTGTGGCGGGGGTGGGGTCATCAGAGCAAAGTGGTCCTACCTGGACATCAGGCGCTGAAGGTAGTGTGACAGGCTCGGGGGCACAGAGCAAGGTAACATCTGATCCTCAAACCCAGGCCAGACGCATCATCCATGCTCCTAGAAAGAAGGCTTCTCTCCTGTTTCTGTTCACTTGGAGATTTTCCTTAATGTTTCCATTCATCAGTATGAAACTTCATTCAGCTGTGAATAATAGAAACCAAGGGAACCAGCTGAGGTTTTCACTTTCTTTCATCAAACCATGAATACCTGGGTAAGTGGTGACTGGTGTAGGTTCAGTGAGGGGCAGGGGAGGGGCAGGATACCACTCCTATTCTCTCTGCCTTTTCCTCGTGGCCCCAATTTAGGGCCATCATTAGGACACACGGCGTCTTCGTGCGAAGCACAAAGAGGCGCCCTTCTGAACAGATGACGTTTGGCAGGACTCACCCCATCCCTGGGTGAACAATATACTGATGGACACCCCACCAACAAAATCTGGTTTTATAACTGTCTCTACCATACTCACCAAAGGAGTCAGGACATCCACATCTCCAATGACCCTCAGGAGTTTTTCACCCAGTACTGAAATCTGAATTACATGAAGCCTAGGACCTGAGTTCAGAAGTAAAAATGACCACCACCCCCAAGCCCACACTGATTGCTGGAAATCAAATAGAGGTCCATTTACTAGCAAAACCCAGGCAGTGCATCAGATGGGCTCAGAGGATTCACCCCCAAGTTGGGTGCGTGGGGAGAAGGGGCATGTGGCAAATGTCCCCACAGAGGCAGATGCTGAGCTATCCAGACACAAGTCCAATGCCATGACAGTTTCAGTTCCTGTGGACCTGTACCCCAGGCTATGCAGACCCCAGGTTACAAAAACGTTAGCTCTATAGAGGTAGCCACTTTAACACTTTGGTCAGCTTGTTTTCGGACGGAGGAGGGGAAATTCACCTGTATTCACACACGTTTCCCTTGTCAGGAAAAAATCAGGAGGGGAGTGGTTTTCATTGTGTACAGATGGGGCTGGGGCTGGGTGGGGAAGGGAGAGTACGCAGCCGGGATGCATTTGAATCAGCGTTCCTACCTACAGATTACAGCACACCAAAGCCAAAGCCCTAGAGGGAAGGGATCTGAGTAACAAGCGCACAGCTACATTTATAAAGTATGAATCAAACCCTGACATTTATAGCTGCCAGACCGTCGTCTACATAATTGGCAAACTTGAGGTGCACAATATTTTCTCTCCTAAATCCACATCAATCCCCAAAAAGGAATTTAGAGAAGCCCTGTTTTGTTCTGGAAACCAAACGTCCACCCTCTCCATGATTAGATTTTACCCCACTTTTAAGCTAAGCACGTTGCTGATTCTTGCGTGCTGCAAGACGACGGGGATGAATCAGAGAAGGGATTTCATTACAGCACAGCACGCAGCACGAGGGCAGCGTGAACATTAGCGTCTCTGCACTGGGCCTCCCCTAGCCATACGGAGCAGCCAGATGTCATAACCCAGGCGGACACCAGGCATTCAGTTGTGAGCACAACAGTCCAGGAACACTGAGCTTGGGGAACCCACTGCTTTTTAGCAAGAAAGCCTGCTCTTTGCCCAGAAGGAGCCAGTATCTTATAAGACTACCAGTGGCTGGAAAGCCAGAGCCACCTGATTAACAGCCCACTGGAACCTCGTGGAACAGGAAAGTGGCAATTTCCAAGAGGGGGTGCAGGGAGAGACAAGTACGAAAACATAGCAACAAAAAGCTGTATGGCCCAGCCTGAAAATAGCCCAAGTGGGGTCTTACCCTAACCAGTGTACTCTTGTGAGTACACAGCAAGTCCGGTCAGGAAACAGCGTGTCCAGCGCTCTTTTTTCTTGCCCTGGTTCTCTTTTCAGGAAACCCTCTGCCAAGCCCTTTGCTCCTGCTAAGCTGTGGAAAAGGCCTTGCTGCTGCTTCCTGGGGCCAGAGAGGAGCGGCTGCCCGGGAAGTCTCTGAGGTTCCGAGTCTCCTGAGAATGTGACTTCTGAAGCCACAGGTGTCCACCCAGGGAAGAGGGGCATCGACCTTTTTTTGTGCGTTCCAGTCCATTAGACGTGACAAAAACAGCAGTCTTACTATGCAGAGTCAGGCGGCTTTCAAGGGGCGGATTTTTACCACTTCCAGCTCTCTGGCCTTCTG